GTTAAGCAACTTATGAACGATTAACTCCCCCTATACGATCACAAACCATACCGGTGATTTAGGTCAACGAACCTTTTATCTCAGTATGTCGACCACATGAGTGCTCGCATAAAAATCCTACCAGGCATATTTACTTTTCGCTTTAGCAAGCAGTTAAGCACTGGCTTCATTGCGTAACGGATGAGCTAAGAATTAATCTAGCATCCCGACATAGAGTAACTTTGGGTGAAGCAGTTAATCTGACGACGACATAGTTCATTTAAAGTTTTCCTATAACCTACAAAGTTTGCTGAAAACAAGGTAAATTATATCCCAATATCTCACAAATGACGTGGAGGGCGAAATTGATCCCGCTACTGATATGGCTCCTACGCATTGAAATTACGCACTGAAATGCTGGAACCGTTTCGGAGGCGGTCACTCCAGCTGATTGCGTAATCCATCTTTCTGCATGCACAAACCAAGTCACGTTCATTCAAAGGCCATTCATCTGGTCATTCATTTGGCCTGGCAGTCGATGGTGATTCCTCCGTGCGTGTCGTATAAGCTCACGCAGCTCGACTAGAACTCGTAGTCAATTCTAACGACCTCGCCTGGCCGTCTGTCTATCCTGCATCTCAAACCATATCTTTGTTTTGGCCACCTTCTAGTACTAACGAACTCGCCTGGCCGTCTGTCTATTCCCGCCTCAAACCAAGTCTTTGTTTTGGCCACCGCCAAGCGACTACCATCTCTCACCGCCCCGCAGAGACCCCGGGGGATTTTATGGAATCGGATGGCGCTCATGCATATTTGAGGCGGCGCGTCCGGCCGCCGAACGCTGCCGTTCACTATCGGCCGCGGTCACAACTCAGCGACCGCCGCGGCGGCGTTCGACACCTCTGCAGACGGTGGTGTGGGGACAGTGGCCCCCACGCGACCGACCGCCGAGCCGCAGGGTTCGATGGCCAGCCCCAGCCAATGGTGGACCGGACTATCGCTAGTGAGTTTATGTGGACGGTTCGCGGGGCAGCGCTGACTTATGGAATGCTGGCATGTGGCTTGAGGTCCTGTATCGCGCTGGTTGTGAATTCAGGATTGGTGTGTTCCTTAGTGCGCGAAAATATAGAAAAGTCGCTTTTCCAGGTTAGATACATAGATATACAATTATTCTTCCTTTACGTAGATAGCTGTTTCTTCTTTATTCAAACAAAATTTGGTTCTATCGTTCAATGTTTTTATTTCCTGCCAGCCCATCAATGCGCCTTTCGTTTCTGGCTTTCAGCGCGGGATAAAGAGCACGTCAAGTCAACAACGGAGCGGAGCATCATCCCTTTTGTCGCATCCATTTGTGCCACTTCTAAAGGCGGCGCCCTTTGATCCACATCATCCGAATCGCTATTGACTGAGCCGGAGAGTTCGGCCTCGGCCAGCGAAATAACCGCCGGCCCTCGCCAGAAAAGTAAACACTCGGAAGGCAGTCAGATCTCCATCGAGACCAGAAATAACTTATTTGTCTCCGGGGAAGCGCAACGGTGGAAACGCTGGAGAAAATCTTAATATGCTATCAATGGCGCGACCCTAACGACCCAAGAGAATCGTTTCTAGTAAACGGCTATTTCTCAAAGTGTGTACTCGACAGGAATGATAATTTGTCTGTGTGATAAATGGCGCTGAGTCGCCTTTCTTCACCCCAATGTGACACATAACCGCACCAACTAACGACACATCACGTCTGTAGAAAACGAACCTCTTGTGTCGAAATCGCGCTCAGGGGTCTGAGATTGGCCACGGGCGCTGCCGGCGGAACTTTACACTCGTGCTGACAACACGGCCTGTCCGGAGCTGACACGAGAGCTGGCCGTTTGTGGTGACACCAATTCCCGGTGCCGCTCCCACGGGCCTGCTCGGGATTTGTTCATTTCGTCCGGCCGGCCAGGAGGTGATTTTTCGCGGCGGTCGGGATTGGTGCGGCGCTGACCAGCGTTCTGGCACTCTGTAATCCGTCACCAGCTCCCTGGATCGGTCAGCAGTCGTCAACTGAGCCACGAAACACTGAGCTGAACTGAGGAGCCCGCGACAGAAAGCTGAGCTGAACTGAGCAACCAGCGACAGAAAACTGAGCTGAACTGAGCGAGTCGCAACAAAAAACTGAGCGGGCAGTGGCCTAAGCTGGATAAACTTGAGTGCGATGGTTATGAGACACTTCTAAAATATTGGATCGGTGTATCGAGTTGGCATGATCTAAATGGAACAGAAGGGTGACCGAGGATTGAATTGTAGTGAAATATGACTCGAGTTGATTGGACCGACTTGCAGCCAGTCAATTTCTTGGGTAGTTTCCCCATGTTTGAAGTATGATGAATCTAAGCTATAACAATCTTGGTTACTTGCAGTTTGGATATATTTGTCGTTAGTCTCAGTTTGTTAAACTATATTTAAACCAGCTTCACATAAGTTTCAGAAAATAGGTCCGGTAATGACGAATGGATTTCGGTATGCCAGGAACTAGAAGGTTCCAAATATCGTACCACATACATACATGGTAAGTTGCCATTGGGACATCCAGGGGGTTTAAAAGTGAAAACTGGTCACTGGCACCCAGGTTTCCTGAAGCATTCACTTATTTTACTGACATCTACTCCCCTATTTTACTCCCATGGCAGCACATAAGGGCCGCATTTGATTCTTCGGTACGCCTATTTGCCTTCCCGACCAAACTCACTTATTATTCTGTATTTAAAATTATAACATGTTGACGGCCGAACTGACGCTGCTGTTGACTCGTCCCATTTCCGAACCGCATCTCTGCGCCATCCGTTTCTCCCGTCCACCATCATTTGCATTGTGTCTCTAATGCAGTTCATCCCACAGTGCGGCACGGGCGGCGGCGTCTGGGCTGAGGGCTGTTAGGGCACTTCCGCGACCCCGCCTCCGCCCCAGGCGCCCCGCCCCCTCTCAGTCACTCTCAGCACCGCCACGACCCCGCCCGGTCCCATCATCAGAGCCTCTCCCCCCACCCCCACCCCCACCACGGCGACAGCTTTTGACGCGTGTCCTCGCCCGATAGTCGGCCTTTTAGCGGCGGATGGTGCCCTGGGGGGCGGGGGTGACAGGGGGACACCATCAGGAGGAAGTGGGGAGGGGGAGGGGTGGTGACTGGTGGTGGCAGGACGGTTGGGTTGACAGGGCACCTATATGTATGTAAGCTGCATTTGCTGTGTCAACGGGGTGACTCATTAGTTATGGGTGATGGTGACACGTGCCAATAAAATTATGTAGACAGTTTGTGTCTCCAGGTATCGTTCACGAAGACGAACAAATATCCTTCAACTGACCCTCAACTTCCAGGTCTACGTAAACTATGTTCAATATAAAATAATTGTACTATACTAATGAAGAAGCACCCCACCACAAGTTTTGGTCTGAAACGAGCCTCAAATGGAGTTTTAGTCACCAGCAAAGTGTAAGTTTTGAGCTTGGCACAATCTTCAAAAATTTGTGAGATATGGCATTAGTGTTGGACAAAGGACGAACATTTATTAACAGAAAGTTTAATGTGTTGGATGATTAATTAGCTCTTTATATCGTCTGGCACCGGGCTCTAAGTTTTATTCAATAATCAAATAGCGTTTGAGTTGCAAATCCCAGCAGTGATTACCATAATACCTCATCGGTAGTCAGCAATTTACACCAAAACAATAACCCCTAATTGGACTACTTGCTGCATTCAATATTGTGCCGATGAGCCGACCTCAAAGGGAACCACATACGTGGATTCGCGCTCATTCCACTGCAGTTGAGGTCTCCCTAATTGAATATTCAGCCTTGGGACGTCCCCGGGCAGCGCTGGTAGCGCTGAGCCATTTACCACAGCAGCGGGGGTAATTCATCCGACCCAATCTGTATTTCCCGGCCGTCGACTGAGCCTAATTCTCGGCGCTGAGTCCGATTAAGTATGGCATAGCAATGCGATGCAACTAGCGACGACACATGCGGAAACGCGCCAGCAGGATTTACCACACTATAGGACAGACGAGGAGTGTCAAATAAGCAAGCCTGCCAGGTGGGTACGTGATCAGTTATGTTGCGCCACCATTTAATGACAGTTATGCTGATAGTTTATAGCACCCGAATATTAGATGTTGTTTGGCTGTTTTTCGTCGTTTCGAAATCCTTAAACGTTATTTTTTTTAAGCGTCTGCCTGTTGGTCAAAGGCGATAAGGCCTGGTGGTTATTTACATATGGGTATTACATGTACATATGTCATTTTAAAGAAGTTGCAGCCCTATTATTTACAGTGCATGTAAAAAAGAAGCTTCTTCAATAAATGAACTTGCTGAAAATCGTGGTAAAACCATGCTCTCGGCTTTGATTAGACGCGTTCTTCCCTTTTTCGCCGTTACTCGGTCTACTTCCCCGCCCGTGTGCCGCCATCTGCAGTTGAACATTTACCACTTGCTCGGGAGAATCCAGAGCGATTTTCCCTTCCCCCGGTGAATTTGGATTGTGTCGACAGGCGTCGGCGGATAAAATAAAATCCGCAGTTGTAAATGGTTCGTCTTGGTCTGCTCCGCGAGAAATGCATTCACTGACTCTCGAGCGGCACGCCAGTGACGAGAAAAGCTGCCAAAAGTTCTGCTCAAAGCGAAAGTGGACGCACTTTCTAATAAACGCAGTGTAGGTAAAAGAACAGCATCAAAGCTGGCAAAGTTATGGCTTCAAGAGCAATCAGAATTACACAAAAGAAACGCTTCAGCATGATTTCAATTCAATGACTTCTGAAGAAATGCTCCTGTATGATTGCCGTATGAATTGCAAGTGTTTCATTCATAACTCAAAGATTTTGATTTAAATTGGTCATTCATATATTATGCTCTGGCCTCTGCTTCTCCCTGAAAAGTGAATATCCTTGCCTTCCCTTGTAAAACGGCCGTCTCCCTATAGCACTTTCACAATCTGGCCGCCAGGGGCGCTGCCGTCTGTCGGTGCCCTGGCTGTCACCGGCGCCCGAGGCCTCAGTCGGTCGACCGCGGCCGCGGGTCGTGTGTGAGGCGGTCGACGCTGGGACTGTGTTAGGCGTGTGGACATACCAGTGGACGAGTGGATATCGGTAGTGCTTACTGTACGAAGTGAACAAAACAGAACACTGAACTGTACCGGGCTTATCACTCCTGGGATAGCGTAGTTAGGTGTGACAAACGCCGAGACGTGGATAAAAACGATTCGCCGGGGCTCAGTGATATGATCAACAGCGGACCCATCATGGTCGTCTCGATTCGGATGCCACCCTTGTCATTATCATCTTAAAGAAGAAGATCTCCTCAGTCTACCTGCACTCCTGGAAGACTGGAAGGCGTCTTCCCTGCTCTCCCGGATGTCGTCTTCCCTGCACCCCTGGAGGATGAGCTTCCTGCGAGGGTGGGCGGCTCTCCTGACCGTCAGCCTGGCCGGCGTCACTGGTAAGCACCTGATAGAGACAAATGGCTCAGCGCTGTCGTGGGGTGGCTCTTATGTTACTGTTTGGGAAATGGTGAGGGGGGGGGGGTGTTATTGAGCGCAATGACGCGTGGGAAGAGACCCAGACTTGAACGGTTTTCTTATGAAAATGGGTATTAATTCAACAAACATTTTACGGGTATAAAGATTAAGAATGAAAGAAAGAAAGGGAAATGATTGTAGTTGAATTTAGATATACAGAAGTAGTGTATACGTGTTAGCTGGATTGTGTCTTTTCTTAGTTCATTCGCTTTTTTTTTTTTGATCGATTAAGCACTGGAACGATGTGAATCATAGTTCGCTAATTTAATTATGTTTTTTTTTCCTTTCCTCCTTGGCTCACAAACTTTCGCAGTGATGCTTTTATTATACTCGACTGTCTGGAAAATAAAGCCCGTCATTAATATTTGCATTCGAGGCTGCCTATGCGTGCGATGGAGTATCTCGGTTAATCCCGGCTTTCCATTCCGACTGAGAACTTCTATGGCGTGGTGCCAAATCGGAATCCACGCAGGAGACGGTTCCAGCAGGGTAAACTGAGTCTGTGACTCGACACTTCGCACATAGGTAATAGATTGCTGTGAAAGAATGAAAAGCAGATGCGCATTGACTTCGGCCGTGCATACTATAGTAATAGTATGATACTATCTACTTTTTTCCTGTAGATAGTATGCATGGCTTTTTTCCCATTCTGCTGTCTGCTGAAAGGCAGCTGAGATTCGTTCTGTCCGCTGGATGGACCGAAATCAAATGTCAAATGAAACGCCAAGCATAACAGATCGAGTGGAAAGAAACTCTTTCTGAAACTTGTTCAACAATTTCTCATTATGCATGCAATCATGTGTTAAAGATTCTATTTTGTCAAAAGTTAAGCTTGTTTGAGCCCGGAGCTGATTGCTCTGTGACTTTTCTAAAACGTTGCAGTGAATATCATGATATTCGGTCCCATTTATCACTGAAATTTTGAGTGACTGAATCTGGAAGGCTCAGTACTAGACCTACCTAAACATGACAAAAGAGCTGATTACCAGGGAGCGACGCGACCGGTGCAGTGCCGACTCCCAAGCAGTCCGTATAGTACCCCCAGTAATGGAGGCGGGTTCGCTAGAAGTTATGACACATTTGACGGCTAAAACTACCGACGGCGCCAAAGTGAAATGGAAGTGCAAGAATGTCTGAAATTGGGCTAATTCCGGGGCGTGGCTTTACGAGGTATAACGGGAAGCAATTTAATCACTACTGCGCTGTCGCCTTAAATGTTCCATTGCATGTTCATTACGAATACCAGGAAAAGTAACACCCGCTCACTGGTGGCTGAAGCACTTGAGTGTAAGCTATGATTAAATGCAATGAAATTGTGTTTATTGGATTGTTCCCGTCCAATAAAAAAAAAAAATGCAGGTGCCTCATGTATACCATTGGATGGTCGCGTGCATGGTGCCCTTCATCCTTATATTCGTACATGTGTTTGCAGTAACATTGATATTACACGATTGGATTGGCTGCTTCTGTTTCCAGTGATAATGCAATGTGTATGATCGTTCTAATTAGCTGAACAAATGTTTCCAAAGATTCCGCGCGCCTTTCAGATTTAGGAAAGTGGTTCGACGTTTCTCACTCACAAATCAGCACTTGCTTGCCTGCTTGACAAAATTACAGATGCCATACCGATGAAAATGCCGGCAAAATAGTTCGTCTATAATGAACGAACGAATGACACTCCACCCTCAATGTTCGAAAGCTTCCCCAGCTTTTAAAGCAGCCGCGACTCTATTTCTGCCTTTCCTACGCGGAGACAATATATCATCGTTAGCCGACCGATATCTTCCGTTGTGATTCAGATCGTCCTTTTTGCGTGACCTCCGCTACTTCACTGCCAAAAACGCTGCGGCCATTAGCGGAGAGTGGGCCGAGAGGGCTTTTTAGCATATGATTAAATGTTGGATGACGCCGTAACGGCGCACTGGACCGAGCTGAGGTCGATACTGCCGTCCAGTCTGTGTGTCACTGTGTGACAGTTTATGTGTCAGGCAGTGTGTCGGTCTGTGTGTCAGTCAGTGATGATGTTCCGAGTGGACGTGCTTTCCTGCTGGAATGGTTGATTCCAGTCCCAGTGATGTTAGGGGAAGACATTCTGCCTGAGATGTAGACTTGTCTCTAAGACACTGAAGAAGACGTCCCTGCCGAAGAGTTATCTCATGTTATACACAGGTATGGGGAGATGTCCCCTATTTTGGATGAGCGGATGTGACCCCGAGAGACTTCCCCACCAAGCCAGGCAGCCTGATGTAACGGTCAGTCAGTAAACTGATGTGACCCGCTGGTCTGGAACGTACTGATATGGTCGCCACTGCCGCCATATAGACGCATCCTAATGAAGTCGGCTCATGCACTCCACAAGGGTTTTGTTTTGACTAGAGGTGTTATTAGAGCGCCTTGAGTTTTCTCAAAGGGATGGTGCATTTTCTAATGAAATTTTACGCGGCGCCTTGCCTGGTGAACTATGCTAACAGACTAAATAACCTGGACCTCCACGGACACGCAGATGCTTGGGTATTTAGAAATGCAAGAGGCAGGAAATATTCTGCTTACATAGCCACGCAAACCAACGTTATTTGTTTTTCATCTGACTACCCAATTGCATATCAATGAGCTCTATAAGGCCTATGTGTCAGGAATTTTCTCTACCGGAATGACAAGGACCGCATACTTGTATGGATGATTGTCGGGCTCTCAATGTAATGTGTAATGCAGATTTATAATGACGGGTACGCGTGCTACTAAATGATAAACATGACACATCATAAATAACGTAAAATGATACGCCGCCGGCTATAATTACCAATCTGTCATGTATTCCTATCTAACGTCCACAGCCCTCTATGTATCGGTCTTAGGCCAGCCGCAGCCCTCTAAGAATTTGTCTCATCCCCAGCAGCAGACTTCTACGAAATAATCTGAGCCTTAGCCGGCTGTATGTACATCGAAGCGTCAGAACGCCGTCAATTTTTGGGTTTCGGTTATTTTGTAGCAAATACCGTCCCTCCATACTCAGCCATGCTCCTCTTCCGCAACAAGGTGTAGGCGCACTTTCTCCTGACCCATCCCCTCTTATTCCTTCCCTGCCCATCCTCATGCCTCACACCCTCTATCTTACCTCTCATCATCCCCGTTAACGCATTCGTCTCCTACTTTTCCCGCTCCCTCCCGTCTTCCGACGCTCGACCTGCGTGCCACAATCTCCCGGCTTTTCGCCGGCCCGGAAGCAGCCTGGCATTACGGGCCCTTATGATGTAAATGGGCCGATCCCCGACAGATAGTCGCAGCCGCGGCGCCCCGGCCAATTGAGACAGATCGGCCACCGCGCGCCGGGCCGCGGCTGTCGGCGCCCTGAAAGACGCACCGCCGAGGGAGAGAGACGCACGGATTGGATAGAGAGACGCATCTCCTAGGATGAAATGAAGCAAGGGTGATGGGCAACTTTTGGTTACCTAGTCACCCGTGGTAGTCACATACACGATACTCATTAGCAAAGTTCCTTAGTTATTGCGCCGCTTTTGCGACTGACCATCTTTTCGTCGTCATCCAGAAGTAACTATAGTTCATCGATTTTGTTGCTAAATATTGCGTGCATGCTGTAGTGTTTGCATGTTGAGTTCATGGTGCTGCCAAATAAAGGTATTTCCCTATGTGGCAGCAATGGCACATTGGTGGCGCACACGTGACAATTGTAGTACGGTTTTGGCGCCAAGAGTTGACCTCTGGTGACCGGTGACCTGAGGTCAACAGACTGGTCTGGAGTGTGGCTGAAGAAGCATTGATACTGTTGCTATTTATCTTGTTATTAATATACCATGTAATTGTCAAGACTTGATTGTGTCAAGACACTACACATGCATATGTGTAATGACAATTCGATTATTCTACTTATGACTCCCAATCGCTAGCCATCCTTCTATCGCGTTAGCCAGCCCTCCCTCGCTGTCACTTGACCCTTGGTAAGTGACCCGACCCCATCGCGGCATCCTTACACATGCACTCACTGCTCCTCCCCATCAGATTATGTTCAGTCCCGACCACCCAGCAGAGAAAGAGCCGCAGCACCACAAGCCACTGCTGCCGCCGACCCTGTAAATGGCGTAATGCGTCCTGCGAAGAACAGATCGAGATTAATGTCCAGCCAAAATAGACATCGACCCTCCTGCTCTTCCCGTATCGGTATTGATGTGACCCCTTTCGCATATGGGACGCCGGCAAAGTGCATCTATCCAATCTGACGTTAGCCGAGACGACGGTGTCGAGCTGGAATACCTCACTGTGTTGTGACAAAGGCGGAGGGCGGATGTGCTGAGCACTTACGCTGGGATGTTGAGGGGACGAGGATGGAGATTGTTTGCATTGTTTATAAATGCAGTGACTTCTTCATACAGATAGATCGTATATGCAGGTCAGTTCTTGGTCGTAACGTCGTAACTACTTTGTGCTTGTCTCCGTAGACTTTAAGTTGAACTACAATTTCTAAGATATTTATCTCTTGCCTTAGTGGCACGGTCAGCGCATGCTACATTTAATCGTCTATTGAGACAGTGAGGGATATTTTTATTTTCAAAATAAGAACATCTTCTTAAATATCACATATAATCATTTCGCAGAATCATTTCGGATTTCCCAAAATAACAGTATTCATTCTTGCTGCCATGGAAATAACTACCAGTATAGCGCCTTTTGGGGCGACTAACGGAGCGAGCGAGAGGGTGGGCCTTGCACGTGCGAAATTGGGAGGGGGTACCTCCAACTGACTTGTGCACGGCACCCTACTAACCGGTCTCTAGCGATGTGCCAAATTTGAGCACAATCGGCCCGGCCGTTCTCGAGATCTGGTAGCGGCACCCTGCACGTGCGCACGTGCAAAATGGGTCCCAACTGACTTGTGCACGGCACCCTACTAACTGGTCCCTAACCG